ATTTAATGCACGACGGTCGCTTTAGATCGTGAGAATTTCGTACGAATATATTTTTCATATAATTTTTATAATTATTACAGCAACAGTTTACGATCCAAATCAAAGTTTTTCGGTCGCACGAATATTTTGTCGCTTTTGCTCGTGCGCCAATTGTGAAAGGTCCTTTAACTATTACGGTGAATTTAATATTTCTAAAAAGAAATTAGCTGAGCAAGTCAACACACTTATTAAACCTGCATTTTATGACTTTTAAAAATTATGTAGGCATCAAGATTAGAAGATATATTAAAGCAAGTTTTTTACAGAGTCCAAGGACCAACAATAGCTTTACACATTGTTGATAAGGATGAAACAAAATACATTGAGGCAATGATTTATTGGTCACAGTTTGAAATGAAACATGATAAAATTGTAATAAATTTATGAAAATTTACCCTTGCTCAAAACCTTGTCCACAATCAATTTGCATGGACATTTTAAGTTGCAATGCATTGGATGGTTTTGACAATTGAAGGATTTTTTCTTCATTTGCTTAAACATACAATAAAAACTCTCTGAAGAGCATATAAATTACAAATGCTAAAAACATCTTTTCATTGGAAAATATGTTGAGCAGGCTATTTTTCAAAGGGTCCAAAGACGCTAAATCCATGTAATACTATCACACACATTGTTAATGCGAATGAAATGATATACTTTAAATAAATTGTTAAATTGACATATTAATGACAAATTGCTCATTCTTAAAACTTTAATGGTGATTTAATTCAAAATAACAGACAAACTCTTTAAAAATATTAAATTCAAGAAAAAAACATGCATACCTTTTGAATAATATAAAAACTTTTCTTTCGTAAATGCTTGTTGTATATAGTAAGTACAGTAGTTTTAACTCATAATTTTTATTTTCTCGCTATATGTAATATAATTGGTGATAAATATAAGCAATACTCATACTTTATATACAAGATGAAGAACCTGATGGAAGTAAGCAGCAACAAGAGACGATCCTGTATACCAAATATTCAGCGAATCTTACGAGGACAACTTCTTTTTGTGTTGACGTTTTTGGCAGTCGTTCTGGGATTTATAATCGGGTTTGGAATTCGTGAAGCTAGACCTTCTTCAGATGTTATACAATGGATCGGTACGTTTTCGTTGACCAGAGAAGTTAGAACCATATTTGTATTTATCCTTTTAAGCTGAATTCTAGATCGCAGATACAATAAGGTTTCCCAGAGAATATTGCATTGTACTCTGTGCATTCACTACTCTGAACTACAAATGCATGGCGTTATAATTAAAAATGACATCAAGTCATTGGAAACTTGAGATGTGGTGATGGGGATATTGTCATAAACTTTACACATTATTTCAATCTGCATATAAAGTGTCAGACAGCTGCTGTAAAATAAACGTGTTCTAATCTTTTTAAAAATCTAATATATCGAAATAACTTTGAGAGCTTTATTTGATTTCTCCTGTTTCAAAATCAGCCTTTTCAAAATATATACAAAATATAAACTTTTTAAATTTTCTCTTTTTCATACCTGTGGATAGTAGCAGAATTCATGATAAGTGTATAAAAGAGACATGCGCAGATGATTAATGGGGATCTATTTGGGATCTTTTGTGGAAATATGGTAGAGGAGTTCCAATCTAACTGAAAAGTGCTTGGGAAAAATGTATGATGAAGTGTTTTAAAACAGATGTCAATATTTAGTGGGAAATACCCTAAAATATACTTGTCAGTTATTGTAAAATAATTTCAACCTGAGTAAAAGTGTTACTTTTCCAAAGCACATTTGTCTTCTTCAAAATCAAATGTCAGTTTTGAATATTTTTAATATACCACAGAGCCAAAAGGAATTTGAGCTACCCTATATATATATATATTGGATTCCGAAACTTCTTAAAAATCCTTACAAACAAAGATACATTGCGGTTTCCAGTAAATGTTCAACCAAGCATCTTTCATTACTCCTCACTAAAATATTGGCAGAAGTGAAGGAAAAACTTAGGGAGCACTGTGCAACTATACATTCAAAAACCTCGTAAATTTACTTACCTCGTCATTGGTCATTTGCCAGATTATTTGGTTAAAACACATTCTGATTACACACACAAGTACTATGAAGTTGACATCAAAGAGATGCTTGAGTTTCTGATTAACAATATCTATGTGGTTTTTGGAGACCAGGTATTCCAACAATCTATTGGAACTCCCATGGGTACCAATTGCGCTCTGTTATAAGCGGACCTACGCAGGAGGGATAAGGAAGCATACAAAATATTCTACCTTGACTAAATCAGTGCTACATTATGACGTCATAGTAGGCGAGATGACGTCAATTCTAGAACACAGGTTTTCGTAATATTGGTATTTAAAGATGTAATTTAAGGTAGAGATTGATAGCTTGTCAAAAAAAAACTACCCATTGAATTTTTCTGAATTTTTTATATGTTTGTGTTGAGTCCTTGTTCTAAATCATATCAAAAATTCAAGGTAGGTCATCGGGCTATTTTTAGAGAAATTTGACAATTTTAATATAGCCTTCAACAATCACCGAAGAGCTGAAAAAGCAAGGTAAAATAAAATAAGAATATGATATGAAAAAGGCTGTATTTTTTTTATTGCTATATCAATTATCATTTGTCTTATATGAATTCAAACATCTGTCTATATGGATTAATATTTGACATCAATCTTGAATTTATCAAGCATTGTAAGCAAAAAAGAGAATTACATTTACCAAGATGCATGGTCAAATTAGGTTAAAATATTGCCTATTCATTGCACAAAGTCTCCCACTTCTGCTTCCACTGTGAAAAAATTACCCATCAAATTTCTTTTTTTATTGCATATTATAGTTAGTCTATATGTGTCTTAAATTTCAGAAAAAAATCATACTACATAATGGGGTTTAAATTCATCCTGGAACAAGTTTACTATCTTACATCTTACCCTACCCCCTTCCTTTAGAAGGATGCATTTTTGAAGAATATGGTGACTAAGAGAGATTATCAAGAATTTATCAAAATATTTCACAGAAAATGAGTAAATTCTTTGTAATATTCTTCTAAATTACATTTTATATCACAAAAACAATTTATACATGTACACCTAGACACATGTTGCCCTGGTTGACCTTTTTGCACTTACATTGAAAAAGATAAGAACTTTCCCTTATATCATTCAATTTGACTTTGATAGATAGAATTAATCAAAGTATTTCAAAGAAAATAGGTAAATTCTTTGTAATATTCTTCTAAATTACATTTTATATCAAAAAAACAATTTATACATGTACACCTAGACACATGTTGCCCTGGTTGACCTTTTTGCTCCTACATTGAAAAAGATAAGAACTTTCCCTTATATCATTCAATTTGACTTTGATAGATAGAATTAATCAAAATATTTCAAAGGAAATAGGTAAATTCTTTGTAATATTCTTCTAAATTACATTTTATATATATAAAAAAAACAATTTATACATGTACACCTGGACACATGGTGACCTGGTTGACCTTTTTGCACTTACATTAAAAAAGATAAGAACTTTTCTTTATATCGTTCAAATTGACTCTGTAGATTTATTATACATATTGTTCTTGGATGAATTATCAATGACAATTTCTTTTGACCAATTCTGTAAATAAATAAACAAGTCTTATTATCTTCCTTTGCAACAATAGAATTAAATTCACTTTTCTTTTAACAATTCCTTTTTTATTCCAAATACATTGTACAACATGAATAAGAAAACTCAGTGATTATGAAGTTTTGTATGCAGAATCAATCCATGGCATGTTATCTTTGTTTTAAAAATATTTAGATAACAATGTGCTATGTATTACACTGTAAAACAAAGACTGCCTGGTCATCAGTTGTTAGATATCAATACACTGAAGCATCACATGGTAAAAAGTCTGGGAAAATGGAGAGTGATTCGGTTTTCATTTCATATTTACAAAAATACTGTAATAATTTACTAAGAAAACATACAATGTGTCAGAGGTAATAATTTGTAACTTTGAAGTAAAGATTTTGCGAACAGATTCATAAAAGTTAGAGGAATCCCCCCATAAACTGTATATGATACTGTACAATTTTTAAACTCATGATGTAGTTCAATAAAATATAGTGAATACATTCAGTACATGTACACATGTATGGTAATAGGATAAACTTGCTATTTTGCTTTTTTTCTAATTGGCTAACAAAGATCAATGTGAATATGAATGCATTTTTTAATTGCCATCGTATGCAGTCGGTTTTGTCATGTTCAAGAATCCTGACAATTCCTTTGTTTTTATGTCAATACAACAAAGGTGTTCTTTGACAAGGATCTGCAGTGAGCAAAATTCATTCTGTATATTCAGATATTGAAGCATGTCTTATGGCGTGATATGTCCGTTCGCCTTTACTGTCTCCTTCTGGTAGTTCTTTTTTCTGAAAAGAACAAAATATTTTAAAACAAAAAGAACGAAAACACATGTTTTACTTCTTTCTTACACTGCAAACATAGTATGACTATGTCTATATGAATGTAAGACACTTCTGAGATACCTTTTTATATAATGTCATGATTTTTTTTTAATAAATGCATATAAAATTGGCCTCATTAATCTGGGCACTTTTGCTTCCAAGGAAATTATTTGAATTAATGAATTGTCTTAATTAAACAAACTTGGTATAGAAGGATAAAGCTAAAATATTTTAGTTTCTAAATGTAGGCCACACTCTAAGGCCAGGATCATGGGGTTAAAGAAAAAGAAATAAACTCAGCAAGAACTGTTCAAGAGTTAATACCAAAGGATAAAATTTTTGTGGAAATAAAAAACTCCATGTACCTGTCAGTGACACATCAATTCATATACAACTTTAACAACATAACTATTATATGTAGAATTAAAATACTTCTCTTTTTACATCTTATTCCATTTTTTAAATTTAGTTTTGTCCCTAATTACCTTATTAATATAAATCCAATACTCTTTTGTAACACTGCAGATGACACTTGATTAGTAAAGGATCCTATATTTCCGTGGGATCTGTAACATGATTGAAATAAAATAAAAATAAAATAGATAGCTTGATCTATTTTATGAGTATTTGCAAATTTAGCTATGATAACGTGAAGAAGTCAGTATTGTTAAAAAACCATGTCACTTATAAGTTTTTTAACAATACTGACTTCTTCACATTATCATATCAATTCTTTGGTGTTTCATTCGAAACAATTTCAGTCAAGTAGAAAACATATTTACATTTTACAATTGTTTTGGTTATTCAGTTTTGAATTCAATTTACAATATGTCTTTTTATAAGTTTATACACAAGCATTTAACAATGTATTTAAGTCAATAGAGCACCTAACTAGTGATACAGGGATCTTCCATTAGATTCTCAGTCCAGACATAAATATTCCTTGTTATGCCACTTTATGTTTGAGTTTGCTGTAGCAGATTTTGCTTGAAGTTTCCTGAAATATTAATAAAATCTTTTAGAAATTATTGACTCGAAAAGATGCTTCTACATGTATAAATTAATACTGTATGTACATTATGGTGTGTAAATAAAAAATACAAGGATTAAAAATCATTATAAATTATAAATTTAAATTTAAAATACATGCATTATAAAACCCCTCCTTTTCACCATCCCCTTGGAAAAAATTCTGTATTTTCCCTGATACATGTGCAAGTGTAAATTGAAAGGAAAAAATACAAACCAATGGCTATCTTGGAGTTAATGTTAATCACCCTTGACATTCCTCTTTCCAGGTGACACTTGATTTGGTCACATTACTTCAGCAGAGAAAGCTGAATACTGTGTCTAGTCCATAGCTTGCTTCACCTGTAGCATTAAATATTTCTTTTACAATCTATGAATATGATATCTGTCTATAATCAAGGCCCTTTTGAGCTTACAACAAATACATACCTGTACATAAATTTATAACAATACATGTACATAAACACTACATAAAGCAAAAAAAAAAAGTCTTGTTTCCTGCTACTCAACTGACCCTATTTTTTTATTTTGGCACTTGATCATAAAGTTGTTTCCTTTTTTTTCAATGCAATGTTTTGTAGTTTGCTTTTTAGTTCAAAAAGACAAAAGATTTGCAAATAAATGTCTACTATCATTTATAAAAGGGGTTATAACCTGTCATCCAAAGCAGAGATGGTTTACATATTTCTGCATTTGAACAATTTAAGCAAATTATGTTTTTCCATTTTTTGAGTATTAAATTAAACACCACCTTGTGTGTTAGGCACAGATAAGTATGATACCTTTACATTTTTGCTAATTTTACCAATCCGGCCTTTATCATGTTCTGACACCATAAATGTCTGGTTTTGCTCTTCTATTCTAAAAGTTACAGACTAGTCATATAATAAGTATTAATTTTAAGCTAAATAAAACAGCATTAGGAAAGTATAAAAATCTAAGTAGGTTATTGGTAATTGGAGCTAAATATATTAGTTGTACCAGACAGGTGCGTAAACAATCAAACACTTTAGCCATGATCGATATACTATTATTAAAGTCGTAAATATTCACCTTATGTATCTGACATGGACACAGCAAACAAAAAATCTGTTCTTCAAAAATTTTACTTCCTCCGTCATACCAATTAACATCTGTAGGGTCGTGGTCTTAAATGTCTATATTGAAATCAACATCTGGCACAGATCGATACCGGTGTACCCACGTGGTGCTGCAGTGGACACTGGACAAGGAGTAGTTTCACCAAAATTATGTTCATGGTCGGTTTCAGTCTCACCTCTAATTTGATTCTCATGAAGATGTTTCAATTTCGAGAACCGTAAAGTTTAATATGTATGTCAAATTTGTCTTTTAAATCGAGGAAATTTCTCGATTGCTTCGTCGGCCATCTTGTAGCAGGGACAACAATGTGTAAATGGAGACTTTTATTTGACGGCGTTGCGGAATTCCGGAAAAACAGCACGTGCAAATATGCGAATTCTTTCTATCACGTGATTGCTATCGGTCTCTACCTTAACTCTAGAAAATGAATAGAAACGTGTAAACATTAACAACAATGAAATGTTCCTACTTTGTTATGCTGTATTTTGTCATTTTGATTAAAATCTACCACCGATGACGTCATATGTGTACATCAAGTAACTTGGGAATTGATTACGTCGTGTAAAGAGAATTTGGCTAAGACAGTATGTACAAAGATACGTAAAATGGAGTTTAAAAAGCAAATATCGTGAATATCTTGTGAAATTCATATGGAGTACAGTTAATAAACAGGTATGCGAATTTATTTTCATTGATTATATTCTCTTTCGAAGACAGTCAGCTATATACGTATCCCGGTCGGCCTTTTCTCTGTCATTTGTGACAAAAATAATGCATTAGAACAACAATAAGCTGCATATTTTAAAACATAAAATTTGTACAGATAGAAAGTTTGCCTCCTAAAATACTTCGAAAGTGCTGCTAGAATCCCGAGTTAAACATGGTTTTACGAAAAATCTCGGTTCATATGTAAAAAATGCAAAACAGCGGGTAAGGTTTTTTGCAAATGTGTGGAATAATTATTTTACTGACGGGACAATGGGATTCTAGCAGCACTTTTTAGGCTTAATAGATGTTTTTCAGTTACATCATTTCCTCAAAGAAATTATCAATTTCCGAGGTATGGTTGTTCTGTTAGCTTTTTTATTAAGGAAAATTTCGCTATTAATAGAAGTCACGTGATGCCGTGGTGTTGGTGCACTTCGTTGCGTTAGACACTCTTTTATCTTTATGCAATAGATGATAATAGTTTACGTTTCTCAGCGGTTTTGTTAAATTATCAAACTTAATTTTCTTTAAAAAGTCTAAATTTCCCGAAAAATGACTTATATGCTTCCTTAACATACCCGCGTATTTTTATATTCATATATAAGAAAACACTTGCTGTGGCCTTCAACTCGACATTTAGATATATCGACGACGTATTGTCAATTAATAATGGTAATTTCCATTCTTACGTCGATACGACATATCCTGGTGAGCTTGAGAAATAAGATACCACAGAGTTTGATACGTCTGTTTCATACATGGATATTTTACTAGAAAAAGACGTTGATGGTAATCTAAGAACCAAGCTATATGATAAACGTGATGACTTTAACTTTTCTGTCGTCAACTTCCCTTAATTATACAGCAATAAACCTTTATCACCTGCATACGGAGTGTTTATATCTTATTTGATTCAATACTCAAGGGTCGCCCGCGTGGCGCAGTGGTTAGAGCGTCTGCTCTAGAGTCGCAATGTTAGTAGACAATCCTTACGTCGCGGGTTCGAATCCCACTGCGGGACAAGGAGACCGATGAGACCGTATAAACCGAGGCCCCGTGTCGTAATAGGTGCTGGCAGGAGAAAGATCCCTTACTGCTCAAAGGCCCTGAGTGCCGAGCATAGGACAAAATTTGTAGCCCTCCACCGGCAAGTGGTGGCGTCTCCATATGAGTGAAACAATATCGAGAGGGACTTTAAACAACATACAATCAATCGATCAATCGATTGCTTTACGTATGAACAATCTCTAAAACGAGGTAAATTATTGACAAGCAAGTTTAAAGTCATCATTTCGAAAGTTCTATGGTCGATACAATGACCTTGTCAGCAAATACAATTTACATTCAGTCAAATGCTGACTGACGTTTTTCATACTAATTGTTAGTCCATTGTTTATACACTGAATGGACCTGATCATGACAAGGAGCACACGGGGTATGTGACCGGTCAGCAGGGGATACATTATAAATAAAATAATTATTATTTAACTTGCTTACTTTGTTCATTTTTTATACATGAAAAGCAAGTAGAGGAATTCATCTTTTTCATAATGTATGTACAATGTTTACCGATAGAGATCAAGGTCACGTATTGACCTCTGAAGTCTGACAAACCTCATACAGAATTGAAGATATCTGTTCTCTGTATGTTTATATAATGGAAATATACCAGTATATATATAGCCTTGAGAACTCTCTATATGAATTTGTCCTACTTAATGTACATAACATAAAATAAATCTCATACTCGACCTTGCAATGCAGTGAACTACGTTTTAAACGCATTTTAAGCTATGGAAAGCCTTAACACTAGTGTGATCACTCGAGATGTTTACGCCATTTAACAATTCTACTGATGATGTATATATTTCATTGATTATGTAACAATGTTCTGCTTTTTTATATTTTATTTTTATTTTAAGCTAACAATATATAGGACTGTCATAAATGGTCATAATATAACATAAAGGATACATTTTGCATTAGGTGTTATATCAAATACATTTTTATACATCTTTCTCATAATTTCACTGGGTTTGGAGTAACAGAAAACGTGCAGTAGGATCGAGACAAGGTAGAGGGACATCCAAAGAAAATTGTCACCAGTCATTCTCAGAATGTAGCATATTTTAATGAACTATTATAAAATGGTTAATAAAACTTTATTGGTATAAATTCATACATTTCAAAGGTATGCCAGGCGATCTTTTCATGAGGTCTCTACAAATGATGATTGTTCCCCTCATTGTAACCAGTATCATAAACAGTAAGTAATATATTGATTATATTAAACTGAATGTTTTGAACAAATACATATAACAGTGAACCGTACGCGCATAAATTCTGTGCAGTCGCTATTTTTCGGAATACCACCCGTCGTCAAGCAATGTTGACTGTTGCTACGCTGGAGGGCGTGGCTTCATTCTTCATCGTTTAATAGTGTTTTTTTAAAATGTTTCTTGACCAATCAGACTGAACTAATTTACATGAAAGTATAATATTGATGTTTATCCCACTTACCTTGAAATATCAATGAATGAGGGTTGAAAAAAATCAAACTTTCTTAATATGTTTTTTTAATCAAAATTATTTGATATTTCATATACCTGTATAAATGTAGATGGTATAGTGATTTAAAATAAGTAAAAAAAACTTCTTTAAATAGCTTATTGAAGACAAAATACTTTTATCGGATGGTGAGACTACATGTTACTACTAAAAGTGATGCTTTGAAATAAAACACAATTACATACATAAACTAACGTTTATTTTCTTGTAGGTACGGCTTCGTCAGACCTAAAATCTAACGGAAGAGTAGGACTGATATCTATCTCATACATATTGCTTACGAATTTGATGGGATGTATTATTGCTATAACACTTATTTATATCATTAAACCAGGTAAAAATTACAGACAAAATATTTGTTTCAAGGTATCTCGAAATAATTATAATGATATCACAAAAATGCCAAAAATCTCAGTTGACCTTTTTTTCTAATTAGTGAGCTCTCCTTTGCTGGAAAATATTTCTAAAATTGCATTTTATGTGAAAAAAAAATTTACTAATTTAGCCAAGTTCAAGTCGTGAAATTTATTAGGTTCCAATTATTAGTTTTATACTTACATACAATACCTTTGAAAGGAAAACACATATGTAATCATGCCCAATTTATAAACAAATCATTTGTTATAATCATGATGATTAATTGATTGTATATTGCTTAACATCGCACTCGAGAATTTTTCACTAATATTGAGACGTCACCGTTTGCCGGTGAAGGGCTTCAAATTTAGACCTATACTTGGCACTCAGGGCCATTGAACAGTGAGGGTTCTTTATCGTGCCAAAGCCTACGGTGACACGGGACCTACATTTTAAGGTCATACCAGAAAGACCCGTGACTTTCACTTCTTTTGCCGAGCGCTTGGCGAGGGAACAGTCACTACCTATGTTTACGTCTTAGGTTTGAAGCGGCTCCGTGAACAAGAATTTAACCCGGGCCTCCCGATCGCGAAGCGAACGCTCTACCACTAGGTTACCGTGACTGGTCATTTGTTATATTTGTAATAAAGGAAATGGGCGAACAT